TCAAAGAATTCAAATATAGAAAAATATTCAACGAGTGACAGAACAACATATTCATTCACCAATACACGTAGCACATGAGTAAATTATAGGTGTTGCTAAGTCCCTAGTTGAACATTTTTTTTAGTCCCCTTCCGACGAAGTCGAAGGGGACTTTAGGTTTGCACTCCGTCCCTCTGTCCATCTGTCCGTCTGTCCATCCGTCAGTCCGGCAAATCAGCTTTCCACACTTTTTTTCATCGTTTTGAAGATATTGATTTGATATTTGGTATATAGTTTTATCATGACAAGTTGTAGATCAAGTTCGAATTTTGTTCTGGTCTGATGATTTAGTCCAGAGTTATGGACCATAACTCTGGACCATATCTAATGTTAGAGTACTATGTTAAACCATATTTCTGTACAAAGGGAGATAACTCGTTTTTTAAAAGACATTCTTTGTTAAATTATTTGAAGAATTTTTTGGCAGGTTTGTTTGTTATTCAGTATAAACTAATTTTCTGAATGCTATATATATAAAAAAAAAATTATGAAGAGAAATCCTTCAATTAGATAATAATCTATTTTTATTAATAAAATTGAGAATGGAAATGGGGAATGTGTCAAAGAGACAACAACCCGACCATAGAGCAGACAACAGCCGATGTATATATTTCAATACATTACATTGTGTAGATAAAAGTTGTTGACATTTTATAGATAAGTTACAAATCTATATTAGTTTGTGACAAATGAAAGAAAAAATATTTGGAACTATTGATTATATTTGATTATAATTTGAAAATAGATATACACTGTATTACATCATATCTAATTTTAGAGAACTCTTAATCATATCTAATGTTATTTTCACTCATATAATCAGTTTTCTACACTGTTTTTAGTCATGCTTGAAGATATTGACATGATATTTACTTTTTGTTTACACCATGACAAGTTATAGAACAAGTTATCATTTTGTTCCAGTAAAATGAATTTTTACCCGTAGGGGACTATGTATTGCCATGCAATACTCTCAGAATGCTTGTTATATTTGAATTTTTGATTAATTATTCTTTTACTTACATTGACCATGGGCTTTTTAATAGGATCAAAAAAGAATGTAAGGAACTACATCTGTTTGTACACATTCAAAATTTGTTTTAATGCAACATCATAAAAAACATCTTGACAACACCTTTTGTTCAATGACGTCAGAGGAGTAGAATAACCAAGTTTATTTCACATGTGAAATTTGGGAAATCAGAGTCATTCATTGCAACCAATGTAATAATTACTTTTCTACACTAATGTTACTTTAAACATGTTATTTACAACTAAAATCTTAGCATGCAAATTTTATCTTAAACAATCCTGATTTAAATGACAATAATTATGATAAAACAGTGAACATTTTCTAAACTGTTTCCTTTACAAACTTTCATGTACATTAACTCTACTATAAAGCTCTGTTTCGCATTGGTCAACATCAATGAACGATCCAAGGACAAAATCTTGAATCACTTGTTCTCCTGGTACAAATATTGGCAACTTTTTAATTCTAGTGTCAATGGGATCTGTACTTGTTTGTTCCAAAATTTTCTCCACTGAAAATATGTTATAAACTTGAATTGCATTATGGGAGTTTAAGGCTTGGCTTATCTTTTCTCTGTTGTCTAAATCCCTATTGATCTCCTTTAATCTATTTTCTGCTTCATTCACTGATGTCACTAGATTTTTTCTTCTTTGATTAAGTTCTTCTAAAAGTTTTCTTGTATTTTTTCCAACTTCATCCTTTAACATTGCGTCTCGACTCATAATTTTAATCTTCTCAAAATCATATTTTTTGTCTTCTGAATCTTTCACATTTCCTTGTTCATCTAATATTTTCAAATGTTGCCTTAATTTTTCTTCAATACACAAATTTTGCATAGCTTTCATGATAAAATCATAACCTTCATCTAATTTAATCATTTTGTGTTCATTGTGAATTTTTGATATACACAAAGGGCAGACAACTTCTTCACAAGATTGGCAAAAGAGACAACAGTTTAGTCCAATATGAATTCCACATGGAATATTACTAAATTCTAGTTTTTCCTTAGCTTGAAGCTGATATGTAGCAATGTCAATGATCATGTGCTGATCAGTGGATTTAACTTTCTCATGAAGTTTCCGACATTTTGTACACAAGAGAAAGTCACACTGTAAACATTTCCATTTGATCTCATTAGATTCCTCGCACATTTGGCAGGACATTGGAATTTGGCTCTTCAGGAGCGATTTGGATAATGCCATTGCGATGAAAAATCCAGACTAACAGAACTATATTGATAGAAAAATATTATCTGATGTACACTGTACAAATAATGTCATATATTTACTTATTGATGTTATTAATTAAATCAGGGTCATAGTATAGATAAAGATAAATATCATAACTCTATCATTTATTAATGTAGATTCATTCTGTCATTTTATCTTATTTACTATCAGATATTAAATCTTTTCATAAGTCAATTTGAGGATTTCTTTCATTACTTAAAAAAATTCAGGATAGAATTTTGCTTTTCTTTTTATGACCTATCATATAAAGTAGGAGGTGCCTCGATGAATGAATGGTTTAAGTAGTCAAAATACTGTATCGCTAGCTTGTCAATACCGAGGTGGTGAGTTCAAATCCCGCACATGGCAGATGTGATCGACTCTTTTCTTAATTTACTTGGATTGCCAGTTTTTCTGTCGAAGATCATGGTTCTCTTTGGGCACTCCATGGATCCAGCTTCTTCCACTAATAAAAAAAACCTATGCCAGAAAATAGCACAATAGTGCTGACAGTGGCATTAAACACCAATCAATCAGTCAATCATAGTATGAGCATAATATTTTCCATTGTCAAATAAGTTTTTTGAGTGCGGCATGGTGTTCAATGGACACTTTTTTTTCTGTGTATATTTGGTGTTGATGGAAAATGTCAAAAGTTATGTTAAATCATTATCAACCTGAATTTCTCAAAAAAACTTTCAATTCAAGCTTCATTTCTTTTTTTCAGTTCTTCTAAATCTGTTGTAGTTTTCAAGATGGCAGCCTAAATGCCAAAAAAAAATGATAAAAGAAATTTAATTTTTTCACAAAAAATTAAGAAGATTTAGCTGTTTTTTAATGCAAAAAAAGTACAGTCAAATTAATGCATGCTTAGATATTTAACAAAAAATTAAAAATTAATTGTTATCATATTTTGACGGAAAAAAAATGGTCTGCACAAAGTCAGAAAAATGTGTCTCAGAAGGGTGATATGTGTATTCTGCAGACGGTTTATTATGTTTTGAATAAGCATGTTTAGAAATAGACTCAGCCTATTCAAGTAAATCTAGTACAATCCTGCCATCAATCAATCAATTACCGGTATCTTAATTAGGTCTTTCCACTTTTCCGTGGAAAGACCTATTGGTTTTGTTCTGATTATTTTTTTTTTTTTTTCTTCCGCCAAATTTTTTTCTTACGCTGTATTTTTGTTTCGAAAGATGTCGCTTAGTTTTTTTTGTATATATTATCATACAGTCTATACGCTTTTGAAACTGACCCTGTTTAACTGAACACTTTTCTGTATAAGTGTATCTCCCCAAACACTGTTTTTCTTGTTGTGAGATCTCCTTCGCATCCATAAAAGAATCCGACAAATTAATTTTTCCAAAATGCTCATTATATCCTCAGGATGTTACATTTTATTTTGACCGAAGCTATCCGGAGACTCCATATGAGAGTTATTCCCCCTTAGGGGCCATCCATAATTGTCAACCATTTTTCAAAGTGTACAAAACGTACGCTTGGGGGGAGGGGGTTAAAAATCAACATTTTTACCGTACACTTTTTTTTATTTCCAAAACACAAGCATCAGAGATAGATGTCATCAAATATAAAAAAAATGTCAGATATGTTTCAGTTTATTTTCAATGCAAATTTATACATTAAACTAAACTATAATAGACAGGATCTTCTTTTTATCAAGAATGATTGCTTCTTGTCTTGATATCTGAAAATGGTTGATGTACACTGTTTGAGGGAGGGTGGGGGGTCTGAAAAAGTGTATGTTTTGTACACTTTGGAAAATGGTTGACAATTATGGATGACCCCTTATGCATTTGATATAACTGATATGCATTTCTAACTGGTAAACTTTAAGTGATAGAGACCTAGGGTCTTTTGATTTGAGGTCATTGGTAAAAAAAAAAAAAAAAAATAGGTCAGGGTCAGAGGTCAAGGTCATATTCTAAAATTAGATTTTGGCTTATTTTCAAAAAACCGTATAAGATACCAACAACATATGTTTACTAAATTGTTTGTTGCGACATGTCGTAACACATACATTTTGGTTGAAAAGGTACACTTATATTAAATTGGAGTTTTCTCCCCTCTTAAAGGCCTCTTATATTTAAAATTAAGCATATGGGGATATAACTCATTCACCATATATAATAAAGACCTAGTACATGTATCTTTTGATTTGAGGTCCTTGGTTTATGACCTTCTAATTGAGCTCAAGGTCATAGGTAAATTTGACCTTCTAGATTTTGACCTTTGCTTTTACTTCCTAAGTATACATGATAAAGCCATGGGACTTTTTGCATTAGATTGCAAGCCATATGACCTCAGAAAAGCCAACCGGAAGTGACCTTGTGTAAACCGGAAGTAGCTATTTTTTGTTCTTGTGTAATGTTCAAGTATATAGAACCATATATTTTTGGAATCAGTGTCAACACTATCAAATAATACCGGAAGTGAAAATTTTCAAACTGAAAGTAACAATTATCTCCCTTATTTAAAAAAAAAGTCCAGAAACCATATATTTTTGAAATCAGCGTATATTATAAGCTATCATTTGACGCTAGAAATGACATATTAAACCTAATTTTAATATTTTTGAATCAAATAAGATCTTTTCCGGTGGAAAGACCTTCAATTGTTCTCTGAACAATTGGTTTTTAATTTTTAAGTATAGTTTTTTATTTGTGTTTCTTTTACAGGCCAGTGAATTGTATATACAGCTGTCTTTTAAAAATCAGAAAGAAAAGCCTGAGAAATGGATGTCAATGTGGATAGATCCTATGCTGAAAGTTCTAGCTCTGGACAACAAACAACAAATAAACAATGTTATAGAGGTGAGTTACAGTGGACCATGTATGACACAGTGATGTCAGAATGTATCAGTGTGGGATATACTGTAGATTCATTTATTTTCGTGGGTACCAATTTTCGTGGATTGCAGAAAACTTGCCTTTTCGTGGAGATGTAATTTCGTGGTTTTGCCAAAGTCTGCATACAACCTGATAGAAAATTTGTAATTCGTTGAGCATTTAAATTCGTGGTTCACCTGTTCCCACGAAAACCACGAAAATTGGTATCCAACGAAGAATAATGAATCCATAGTACCGTATATTGACATGACAAGGAACAACAGAAACACTGTCATAATTGTTAAAGATATTAAAATAAGATTATGTGGTATGATTGCCAAATAGTCAACTACAAATGACAAAGATAGAAGCAATTATAGGTATATGTTATATATTAGTTTAAAAAGGCTAAGTAAGATCACGTATATTCACAGGTAGATGTAAGAATAATCACAGGTATCAGGGTTCTATATGCTTAGTACTGGACTTAAGTGTGTGCAATGAATTTTTATCTTATTGTCAATTTAAATTGCAAGAGGATATCACTGAAAAGTAAAAAATTCCTTAAAATCATTTTGAGGGGTACTCTTTAACATGTTTGATATAATAAACCACTACAGAAGGTTATTTATTAGACTTCATGTTTATTAGACAACATTTAAATGAACAAAAGTGGACAAAAAAGCATACCAAAGGGACAACTGATTTTATTACTGTTCTTCAAACTGAGAATGTAAAAATTTATAGGATTTGTGAATGATTTACATGGACTGTGATATGTAGAAATTGTATCTTCTTTTTTAATGCATTTCAGTTATCTAAGAATATTCAGTACAAATTCAATCTCTACATAATAATTTTGACTTTTGATTTTCAGTATATTTTAACAAAACTGTTGAAGAAGGATAAAGAAATACTTCCATACATTCTGAAACAACTGTCAACACAATCTGGTAAGTCTCCAATGATTTGTTATTCCTCTTTTTTCTATTTTTTAATTGTATGGAAATTTAGTCAGTAAATTTACAGAAATAAAACATTTCAATAATATTTCATCTCAACACCTAAGGGCTGATTTCTGTAATGGGTCGGTGATACCCTCATGGACGAAATGTCCACCAGCAGTAATTTGTGTTTAAGATATAAAAATTAGTTCCATACTCATAGACTTTTACCTCCATCTCTTTCATTCCATTAAAGTATTTAGACTTGCCCATGTAAAAATGGTAATTCTTGTAATTTGATGTGAAGATTTTGTTATCTTTTTGTAGATACTTCAAAAATGTCATCGCTGGTGACTTGTTTACGTAGAGCCAGAGTTATGGGACTTTTAGACAAACAATTGGAATCAGAGGACAGTGTCAACAATCTGATAAATATGTCTGTTATGCAACAAGCGTTATGTCATATAGATGAGCAGGTATTTTGTAATTTAGGATATTATTTTAAAATAGATATGGGGTTCAATGAGACAGCAACCCAATAAAAAAAGAACCAAAAGAACATGCTGTGATGAAAATTTAAAGTGCAGGGGCAGTATGTGGGAATACATATTAAGACGGGGAGGGATATTTTTTTTATTGAAAGATAAACATGCTGAAATAGAAAAAATTAAAACGATATTGAAGCATGCTGATCTAAAAGTTGTAAAATTAAAGCAGGCTATGAAAACTTCTTGAATAACAGAAGGCAAACTTGGAGAACATTTTAGAATTGATATGTTTTTTATGCTGTATGGACTCTTTGGCTGATGTTTGAATACATTCAGGAAAGATCATGATGTAGAATAGCACCTGTATCCAGTTCTTGATAAAATTAAAATCAAAAGTTTTTAGATGGTTGCAATTTATTTTGGGGGAATATGGTAATCTTGCATATTATATTTATATGTTGCAAACTATCATATTTTTATCAATGTGGAAAATATTGAGTGCGATAAAACTTTTGTCACTAAAAGAGAAATGTTCAATATGTTTCAGGTTAGACTTGATGCTTTTGCCTTTATCTGTGAAAGTAATAAAACCACAGCAGTGGTCTGTGCTTGGGAGGTACAGCTCATTAAGACATTCCTACCTTGGAACTTAAATAGTCAGTCACCTGGATTTAGACAACTTCTATTGTCACAACTGAAAAAGGTAAAAAATGTCAACTGCAAAAATGTCCTGAATTTAGCCTCTTCAGAATCTAAAGGCCTATGTGTAATCTCATTGTTTGTACACTAAAATGAAAATTATCTCACATCATTGGTTGAATTTCCATTGTTTAGTACGTTTTAAACCAACCGCAAAGTTTTGGTGAACGCTTTTGAAAATATTACCAAGAATGCATTAAATTCTGAAAAGGCCGTTTTAAACACCTGCTGATTTGACAAAAATTAGATTGCAACTCTACAACATGTAGCCCTGCCAAAAAAATTGTCCTATTGATATCACATGATCTTGATTTATAAGCGTAACACTCACAATATATTGGAAGTGGTAAATTTCCAAATTTCTACATTTTATTACCAGTGGCAGTGTATCATATGTGCAGGAAGATAAACTCAATAGCTATTTACTGAACATACATATTTCAAAAAGTTTGTGTGGTTTCGCAATAAGAAATAATGCAAAAAATAATAGTTTAAACAGGATGAAGTAGGAAAAAATTAAACAACCATTGGAAAATGAGAATATGTTAGGAAACTGAGAAAAAGCAAATTTTTTTCATTGTGGAAACAAGGCCTTTTTCACAACAAGACAAAGATTTATTTTAATTGACAATTTTCTTTCTCTTTTAAGTGGATAACTGTAATATTCAATGTAGTAGATTATTTATTTTTTTTCCCTTTGATTGAATTATCTGCACTTCTTTAACTGGAAGTTATACCCAAATTTGTCAAATAATCTTCTTGCACATAGTCTTTTCAGTTTGAATCTTACCATAAGCCTTAAAGCATTTGTCAGGTAGTCTAACCAGTATTTACCCAGGATGCAAACTATCTTGGTTCTGGTGACTTCATAATATATTTACTTGGGTTCCACAAAAAAAAAAAGTTTTCGCTTCTACCTAAGAAAATGCTATGTTTTTAATACATCTGTAATAATAATGATGTTCAGAGGCATGAAGTTTAGTTGAGGGGCGTAAAGGGGGGGTATCTGCACGGAAGAACATGAAATAAAATTGCCATTTCACGATGAACGAACAATTAAAAATTTCTTGCGCGTTGATCTTTTTACCAATTTCACGAAACACGAAACCCTTATGACAAAATACGTTGCACGAAAATAACCCTTTACCACCCTCTTAGTTGACAAAACCATATTAGATAGAAATATTGATGTACTGTTGATTTATATATCTTAGTCGGTACCAGTTTTTGTAAATTGTTCTTTCATGGACGAGGTTCTCATACACTGAAATTTCTGGTTCACAGAACCTACTTCAAGTAGTACTCAATGAATTATTCTGTATCTGATTTTTCTTTACAGCTGCTATGTAGAATGATGGAAAGTGAAACAGTGATGTTACGTCAGATAAAAAAGATGAATAATACTGCTGACTGTCAGGTTATGAATGAGAGACAGAGCTTAAAACAGTACAAGGTTAAGACAGACTGTTAAAAATAGTCTTAGTGTCCCCCTGACTGTGGTGTATCCCCCTTTTACAATTAGGTTTTTTTGCGTGTGAGAAAGCTGGTGGACAGTTGTCTCATTGGCAATTATACCACTTCTTTTTATAATGATATTATACAATTATATTGATGAAAAATATAAATGAAGTCATATGCAGTTGAAAGAAACTTCATCAATACAATAAAACCAAAAAGAGAAAGTTGAACATTGTGAGAAAGAAATTTGTCAGTATATTCATTTCTCTAATTCTTTGGCAATTTAACTCTTCCCAGACCCATTGTATAAAACAATTCAAATGATAAAACTAATGACCTGATATCGAGCATTACCTGATTTCAGCATATTGGCAATAGAATCGTTCTTGTAATTGTTTTAGTATTCTGAAGGGACAGAAAAGATTAAAATTGATAAGTTCCAGAGTAAATTTATAACTACAATCAGATGATTAACCATATTTAGCCAATTTCTATTAAAAAAATTACATCATTAGATAAAATTTGTTTCATTTAAGTAAAATTTTAATCAAATTAAAATAAATTTTGCTCTGCATCCTTGGCAGTATGTTTGGTTCAAATTCAACTATATTTCTCACAATAAAATTTTTCCTTTATTCAAAATAATCTATTTTTAGAAGTCATGCTCGAAATCACCGGACATTTGAAGAACTTTCAAAACAAGGGTTTCCCTAATTTTTGACACACGTTACTCAACATCTTAAGGGTGAAACCATACATACAGAATATTTTATGAAATAAAAGTATGTAATGATTTTGTTCACACAGTATTATCTGATTATTAGTTTTATCAGTTTAATAAACTGAAGTCATAAGTCTTAGGTGCGCAGATACACCGAACTGCACCTTACAGAACACAATAAATGAAAAACAATATGATACACAACAACAAATGTCAGCCACTGAATAAAAGGCTCCTGACTTGGGACATACACATCACAATGTGGCAGGGTTTTTAAATATGTTAAGAGCGCCCAATCAGTCCCCTAACAAGTATATCTGTAATACTTATATGAGATTTGTCAACTTGTCGTTCTGTAAAATGTAATGATACAATCATTATAAGTCTTATCCTGTAAACTTATTTTTTCATTTATTTTGCAGGATTTTCTATCCTGGTTGACTAGACATTTATTCAGCTGTTTACATCCAGGATCCTCATTCCCCAGAAAAACAACATGTCTGACAGCCTTAAACTTACTGGTGGATATATTTGGTACACCGTCTGCTGAAGGTAATTTCTACAACAATGAAATTTAAATGTATTTTAAGATTATAAAATGTAACTTCCAGTGTATAATTTCAAAGAAATAGTTTATATCCATGCAAGTTTGTAATTGGACATATGTCATGAATTTCTTGGCCATTTTTTGTATGTACAAAATTTTATATTAAAAGTTAGAAGTGCCACTCTTTATTAATTCTTTCTGTAAACAAATTTCACATTCAGTTATTAAATTTTTCTTAAAAAAATATCACAACGTTTTGTTAAAAATAATGACTTGTGAGGTAAAAAAAAAATCTGTCATTCTTGATCTCTCTAGGTGTAATACCACCATTGATTTTCCCCTATTAGTCTTTGTTAAATTTGCACTTTTCAAAAAATTGTGCAGAATTTATCTTTGTTTCAAATAAAGAAATACTTGGCATGAGTAAAGTTTGATCCTGTCCAGTACTATAGAAAAAATTTCACATAACATTTCATTGCATATAAGAAAATAACCATCACTGGAAGTTAACCAATCAAATTTTCCCCCTTTTTTAACCTGTGTACAAGCTTTAGTAACCATGTAACCTCAAGTTTCCAAAATATTCTATAGAAACCCCAAATAAAAAAATAATGGTGCTTTGAAATACCCAAGATATATGTTTATGACCCAGAAATGTTTTACTGCAATGAAATGTAGGATCAATTACCTACAACTGTCAAATTCAAGGGAATATTTTTAACCGACCTATTTTCGTATGCAACCGGATGTGACGTACTATGATTTGGTGGTATTACACCTCTAATGTTTTCTATTTTCCATGAAATAGACAACGGGGAGATAACTTATGGTTATTGGTTGACATATTTTTTTAGATCAGGTAGAGATCTTTTGTAATTCAATTTTCCCCAAGTGTGTTTTCCCCAGTGTAATTGATAGTGATTAAAGAAGTCACTATTACTCTAATTTTGCTGATTTTTTTCAAAGAAAAAAAATTTATCAAAGAAGCAATTTTTTCAATGAAATGCTTTTTTTTGCTTTTTTTAGTTTTATTAAAGGCTATTTATTATAAACATTGGTTTATTTTATCAATTTTGCAGGCTTCAGTGTTTGTAATGAGATAGAAGGAGAAGATTTCAATGTTTTGATAGAATGTCTGACAGATACATTTGAAGATAATAAAATGGAGGCTTACAAACTTCTCAAATATCTCTCAACATTAGACTTCATGAAACAGGTATTCCCCTTTCTTTATGATATTTGCACTTCCAAGAACAGCAGAAGAAAAATATTTTAATCTTTAATTTATGTAATATCAAAGACATCCTGCCTATTACTTATCCTGACCAGTTGATTTTTATTATTTTTAATCAATGCGTTGTTTTAAGTTCTTCTCATGATGCATTAAATCACCTGTTTTACTGTACCCAGAGTGTATAATCCAAATACCAACTACTTCAATTCTGAAAACCAGACAGTAACGTGTTCCTTTATTGAATTTTAAGGCAAAAAAACAATACATATTATATTTTTATATGACCGCAAAAAAAATTTTGTGGTCGTATATTGGTATGACGTTGGCGTCGTTGTCGTCATCGTCCGGCGTCGTCCGAAGACACATTGGTTTTCGCACTCTAACTTTAGTTTAAGTGAATGGATCTCTATGAAATTTTACCACAAGGTTCAATACCACAAAAGGAAGGTTGGGATTGATTTTGGGGGTCATGGTACTTACAGTAAAGGAATTAGGGGCCAAAAATAAGCATTTTTGTAACTTCCAGACATAACTTGTGTGTTAGTGTATGGATCTCTCTGACATTGTACCACAAGGTTCCATATCACAAAAGGAATGCTGGGATTGATTTTGGGGGTAATTGCCTCAAAATTTTAGGAATTAGGGGCCAAAAAAGGGGCAAAAAACAAGCATTTTTCTAGTTTCATGACAATAACTTGTGTGTAAGTATATGGATCTTTCTGAAATTGTACTACAAGGTTCCATATCACAAAGAGAAAGCTGGAATTGAGTTTGGGGGTAATTGCCGAAACGTTTAGGAATTGGGGGCCAATAAGGGGTCAAAAATAAGCATTTTTCTAGTTTACAGACAATAACTTGTGTTCAAGTGTATGGATCTCTCTGAAATTGTACTGCAAGGTACCATACAACAAAGGGAAGGCTGGGATTGATGATGGGGGTAATTGCCTCAATATTTTAGGAATTAGGGGCAAAAAAGGGGCAAAAAACAAGCATTTTTCTAGTTTCAGGACAATAACTTGTGTGTAAGTGTATGGATCTTTTTGAAATTGTACTACAAGGTTCCATATCACAAAGGGAAAGCTGGGTTTGAGTTTGGGGGTAATTGCCGAAACGTTTAGGAATTTGGGGCCAAAAAGGGGCCAAAAAACACATTTTTCTAGTTTCCAGACAATAACTTGTGTTCAAGTGTATGGATCTCTCTGAAATTGTACTGCAAGGTACCATACCACAAAGGGAAGCCTGGGATTGAGTTTGGGGGTGATGAGTCATAAGGGGGTTCAAAAAATTTGGGAGGGGGGATTTTTTTCTTTTTCCATTTTTTTTTTTTTTTCCTTTTTTTTTTCTTATAAAATTTTCCATTTTAAGTTGGTTATTTCTGATTTATATTTAAAAGCAAATAATAATGGTATGGTAGGAGATACACACCAAACAGGATGTGTATATTATTATATAATAAGTATTGTGCAATAGCAAGAAATTTTCAATTGCACAGTATTGCATAATAGCAAGAAATCTTCAATTGCACAGTATTGCGCAATAGCAAGAAATCTTCAATTGCACAATATTGCGCAATAGCAAGAAATATCCAATAGCACAATATTGTGCAATAGCAAGAAATTGTCAATTGTACAGTATTGTGCAAGAAATATTTAATTGCACAGTGTTGTGCAAAAGAAGATACTTCGTATAAATTGCTTATTTCTTGACCAATTTCAATGGGGTTTTATTCTTGAATTCTTGGGGTTCTTTAATATGCTGAATCTAACCATGTATTTAGTTTTTGGATTTTGGGCCCCGTTTTTAAATTGGTCCACATTGAGGTCCAAAGGGTCCAAAATTAAACTTTGTTTGATTTCATAAAAAATTGAATTATTGGGGTTCTTTGATATGCCGAATCTAACCGTGTATTTAGATTCTTAATTTTTGGTACCGTTTTCAAATTGGATTACATTAAGGTCCAAAAGGTCCAAAATTAAACTTGTTTGATTTTAACTTCGATATGCTAAATCTAAACATGTATTTAGATTTTTGATTATGGGCCCAGTTTTCAAGTTGGTCCAAATCGAGGTCCAAAATTAAACTTTGTTTGATTTCAACAAAAATTGAATATATGGGGTTCTTTGATATGCTGAATCTAACCATGTATTTAGATTTTTGATTTTTGGGCCCCGTTATCAACTTTGTCCACATTGAGGTCAAAGGGTCCAAAATTAAACTTTGTTTCATTTCATCAAAAATTGAATTCTTGGGGTTCTTTGATATGCTGAATCTAACCATGTATTTAGATTTTGGATATTGGACCATAATAGGTGAATGTCCAATTTAAATTTTTTAAGTTCTTAGACCACATTCATTCTGTGTCAGAAACCTATGCTGTGTCAAATATTTAATCACAATCCAAATGCAAAGCTGTATCAAGCTTGAATGTTGTGTCCATACTTGCCCCAACTGTTCAGGGTTCGACCTCTGCGGTCGTATCAAGCTGCGCCCTGCGGAGCATTTTATTCATTTTGTTAAACTAAGTAAATATTTTTGGAATGGTAAATTTTAGGATTGAGGATGATCTGGGTACACAAATAGTAATTTGCTTTGATAGTTTCAGAAAGACATGTTATTAAACTTGATATTATGAACTTTATAGCTTACTATGAGGGATGGTTTTTGTTCATTGTTGAAGGTCGTACAGTTACCTATAGTTGTTAACTTCTATGTCATTTGGTCTCTGGTGGAGAGTTGTCTCATTGGCAATATACCACATCTTCTTAATCTTTATTTTTGAAGTAACTTTTCAAATATTTGTAAGGGGCCAGGTCTCAAACTATCATTTTTAGAAGTAATAAACCCAGTAATATTCCACCTTAATTGGCTACTACAACTAGCATTTCTCTTGTGGTAACTTTTGTATGAACTAACCATCAAAATGTTTGCAAACCATTTTAAACTTGAGATTGCTATTTTTAGAATCAGTTATTATTATGCCCCTGCCGTAAGGCAAAGGAGGCATTAAGTGTTACCCTTGACCGTCTGACCTTCTGTCTTTCTGTCTTTCTATAATTCTATCATTCCATCCGTCCCATTTTTTGTTTGAAAAGCAAGCTTGAGCAGGGGCATTTGTGTCCTCAGATACATTCTTCTTTAGTTTCTTCATATTATATTCAGTCTGTTTTACCATTTTAGACATTTGATTCTGTGGATGGATTATTTGAAACAGCCCTGAACTTAGCAGGCAGCACTCGTCCCCTAGATAGCACAACAGCAGCATACATGTTTAGAATCTTACTGCTGCAAGCAGAGTTCTTCCCAGTCACGACAAAGGAATCAAAGTCAAGGTCATTCATTATTTCCTGTGGACAACCATCTTTACCAGAAATTTCTGACAACCAATCAGGAAGAGTTTTACATCTGTTGACATGGTTGATGGAATATCTGAAGTATCAGATAAATATGGCAGAACAGAGTTTGATGTCTGCTGCTTGTAGTAAACCATTGTATCCAACTTTACATAGCATACGATACGTCATCCAAGATGTCAGCTTTAAGTGAGTACAATTTTATAAAAAAAAAGGTAGTATAGTTTAAATTCCTTAAATTTTATTCTTAGTTAGACTATGCCTTAAAAAATTTAACCAGTACAAAAATAGAAGATATGATATGATTACCAATGTGACAACTATCCATCAGAGACCAAATGATGTAGATGTAAGCAACGATAAGTAAGGCCTTCAAGTAAACTCCAGGCATACTTCCAGCATAGCAACATGCCCAATTTACCATTCAGTAAAGACAAATTTCATTTGATTTCATGGAAAGGACAGAAATGATAGTGTTTGCATTTTACATATAGTCTAAAATCAATGGTATATATACAGTTTTATGAAATATCACCATATTAATGTGAAATTAATACATTTTTGTTGTAATCTTTTTAAATTCATTTTTTTTTTTTTCTTTAATGTATCACTAGAAATACAGAAAAGGTGCTGAATCTCTTATTTTTGCATTTGTAAATCCTTGAAGCCTTGTATTTGTAGGTCAATATTGACATCAGATATTCCGTTTTGGAGAACAATTGTAGCAGACCTCATCAAATGTTGTCTACAGATATCACAGATTGTCTCCCCAGTTGTTCAGAATTCATCACCAGAGGGCAACATTCCTGCAGAAGTTATGGGTAGTATGTAATTTCAAAAAGTTTCGATCTCTGATTATTATATTAGGGGTTCAATAATAATCCCTCCTTCTGTACGTAATTGTTTTCTATTTTTGGATAATAAAGTAACAAAAAATGTAAAATTTATCAACACAACTTTGTATGTGATAAAAGAACATGAACAATATCTGAAGATGTGCCTTCAGATTCTTTCCTTTTTACTTTTGCCTCATTTGGGGTATATTTAATTAACTGTCCATCATTAGAGAACAACTTGTTTATAAAATTTTGGTAAAGTATAATAATATTTTACCTTTGATTGTTTCATGTGTGTGTGAGATGATATCATATCTATTATCATGGATATTTCAGTTCTGTATAAGGTATACTCAATCTAACAACAACCCAACAAACACAAAAAATGGCATCTACAGGTCAACTTATGACCTTAAACACTTTACCTGGGTACACCTATTTGTGAAAACTTTTCTTAGTTTATCTTTGTTTTTATATATATGCATCAAAACTTATGTCATGAAGGAAATGGTGGGTTTGAAACATTAGACATATTATACATCCAGATCGTATAGGTCAAAATGTTTTCTCAGGTTTTTTCTATCTCTACCTTGACAGATCATGTTAAAATATTTCTTCTTTATTGTTGTTTTACAGACATCACACAAACAACAGAAGGTCTAATGCCAGAATATTTGACAGTGTGCTGCTGGAGAAGTATAAAGGAGGTCTCTTTACTACTGGGTCTGTTGTGTACTAATGTACCAGTGAAGAACACAGGGGACCAGGTCTCTGCGGGCCTAATGACATGTGAACAGGTAATTATACATATTTCTGTAAAAGGATTTGGGACAACAATTTCTGTTAAGTACTAATGTAGATCAAGATCTATAAGAATACTTAGCTGTTTTTATAGCATACTGTTTTTCCTTCATTTCTTTTGCCATACTTTATACTGTTGTCATCATACATCATGATTGGTGGCTTAAATGAAAGAAACTGTTATAATCAGTATATATTAGCATAATTAATAATTTTTTGTGCTGTAATTACTCTATTAATTAACTATATTTTATATTTCAATAGATAGATGAAATTGGAAGCTATTTTAAGACTCAACTTCTAGAATCTATACATAGAGGAGCATTTGAATTGGCTTACGCTGGATTTGTTAAAATGTGTGATATGTTATGGAGGTTAGTTCGGATTTTTTAACAATCCTATTTCAAAAGGATCATATTTTGGTAAAATTGTGTTGGTAAAGTGAACAAAATTATTCCATAAATACTTTTATAAATAATTTTCTTTCAAAGGTTTCTGTAAAATCTGAAATTAGACAATGTTCAATATTAGAAAAAATGTAACTTGGTTCGTATTTAAACTCTCATCTTTATCCTGTTCATAGAATTGAGAATGGAAATGGGGAATATGTCAAAGAGACAACAACCCAACCAAAGAGCAGACGACAGCCAAAGGCCACCAATGGGTCTTCATCGCAGCGAGAAAATCCCGCACCCGGAGGTAGTCCTCAGCTGGCCCCTAAATAAAATTGTGTACTAGTTCAGTGAAAATGGACGTCACACTAAACTCCAAAACATATAAATGAACTAAAATTAAAAAAACATACAAGACTAACAAAGGCCAGAGGCTCCTGACTTGGGACAGGCGCAAAAATGCGGCGGGGTTAAACATGTTTTGTGAGATCTCAACCCTCCCCCTATACCTCTAGCCAATGTAGAATAAAGAAACACATAGCAATACGCACAGTAAAACTCAGTTTAAAAGAAGTCCGAATCCGATGTCAGAATAGGTAACAAAAGACACTAAGCAAAAAGACAATGATACATAAATTAACAAAGGACTACTAGCAGTTACTGACATGCCAGCTTCAGACCTCAATTAAACTGATTGAAAGATTATGTCTTCATCATATGAAAATCAAGTACAATCCCTCCCGTTAGGGGTTTAGTATCATACAATCATAAAATATATGAGAAGAACATAACCCGTATCATGCCAACAACTGGTTTTAGAATAATAGTGTTTATTTCCGATGCAAAGACCCTATGAGTGAATCAATATTAATAACAAAATATGCAATCCTTAATGACCTGACAACAGTATCGTAACTATATCCTTTCCGAATAAGTCTGTTTAAAGGTTTGGTTAGCTTTTGAGGTGAATGCCAACATTTTTGTGCTTTGTAAAGAATATTACCATAAAATATTGGATGTGAAATACCTGAACGTATAAGATGTCTACATGTTGATTTATATTTACGAATGATGTCCTTGTACCGATGATAAAATTTAGTAAATGTTTTGACTAGTTTGTGATATGGAAAACCCTGGTGTAATAATTTTTCAGTAATACAGAGATTTCTTTCGTTGAAATCAAATACGTTGTTACAAACACGAGCGAATCGAACAAGTTGAGATATATAAACACCATAAGATGGTGACAAGGGAATGTCACCATCTAAAAATGGATAATTAACAATAGGGAATGAAAAATCATCTCTTTTATCATAAATTTTGGTATCATACATATTTTGATGAAAGATGTTATTTGTGTCACAATAATTATTGGAATTGCAGTCAACTCTTGACAGTACATTTTATGATTTTCAGAAGTACAATACCAGACCTGTATAAGCGTCCAAAGCTATGGCTGTCGCACCTGATGGGTGAAATCAAATCTGTCAGCTCTAAACTGTGTGCTACAAGGAGAAGTGCTGGAGTTCCATTCTATGTACAAGTTAGTATTAAATAATACAATTTTGTTTGATCACATGATTGATTGTTGTGTGGTTTATTAAAATGGAGAGTTTTTTCTCAATTCTGGGTACATTCCCTTATTCTTCCTCCTATTTTGATAATTAATCAATGAAACTTCTGCCTACAAAATTTTCTCTCTTTTAATATTCAAATAAAGATTTAAATTTTTCTTCATAAAAATATTGAGATTGTACATGTTGTATCTTTGTCAATGTTTGCTTTTTTTGAGCAATTTTAAAAATGTGATGTCTGAAAAAAATCCACAAACCCTCTACTCAGCGGACATTTAAGTTTGGATGTGCATTAAAGACAATTTTTGAATTAGTGTAATTAAACTTTTTTTTATTAAATACTACATTTTTGCACTGAATCAAAAGACTCAAATAAAATAATGATAGATATGCTGTATTGTTGATTATTATTATTAGAGTTACTAATCTATTGACAGGCTTTAGTGACCACAGAACCATTGACCACAGGAAGACAGTGCTTCAAACAAGCTATGGCTGATTTACTTAAATTAGCATTGACAGAGGAGTCACATGACTTGTCAGAATCTAAGGTAGGTCACATGTCTGAACACTAATTATTAAGCCTAGAGGTTTATCTAAAAATTTTAAAGTTTTGATAACTGTCAGTGGTCATTTCCGGTATCACTATGATTATATATAAAGTTTTATTTTTTTACCCCAAAAAATTATATTAATATAAAAATAAGGAGATGTGGTATGATTGCCAATGAGGCAACTATCCACCAAAGTTTGATTGAAGCTGATGTAAGTAATTAGAGGCAACCGTAACAATGAGAAAAACCCATACCACATAGTCGGCTATAAAATGTCATTTCTTGCCAGATTTTTGGAAAATGTCACAGATATTTCAGTATTTTCCATTGTTGATTTGCTCATTAGGTCAAAATTTGATGACATCTAACTATAAATGGCTTCAAATTTATCTTTTGAAAACATATACTGGGTAATTTCATGTGAAAATATATAGTGAAAAAAATTAATTATAAACCATAATAATTGATTACCACATCAAATGCTAACACCAAACTCCTCGTAAAAAAAAATTGAATGAACGAAAATAACAATGAAACATGGTCCAGGTAGCCTATTTTTTATACAAGCACAAATTGTGATGAGGTTTAACAAGTTTTACTGACTACATGTATGTTTTAGTTAAATGCACAAAACATTAAAGATTTATAAAACTTGCTGATTTTTTTATGTAGGTTTATTCATTAAGTATACTGAGAGCCATGTATAGAGACACAAGGTTGGGAGAAGATGTAACTTTCTGATTTGTTTTATCTAGGTTCATTCATTGAATATACTTAGAGCCATGTATAGAGACACAAGGTTGGGAGAAATATAACTTTCTGATTTGTTTTATTTAGGTTCATTCATTGAATATACTTAGAGCCATGTACAGAGACACAAGGTTGGGAGAAGATGTAACACCCTTTGTAGCTGGTGGAATGCAGGCAGCTATTCTAGGCTTCAAGTCCAAATTTTGGGCAGTAAGTTTGCATACTGTAAAACTTCCTAATTATTTTTAATTAAAACGATGCAGAGATTTCTAACTATTTTATTCACAATATTTTATATTCACTGAGCATTTTTGGCCAGAAATTTTTATAGCATCAATTTTGATTAATATTTTTAATGTCATGGAATGATAATAACACTTTATAAATTTGGTCAGAAACACTTTTCTGAATTTACATTCATCAAGAATGCTAAAAAACCAAAAATTTGAAAGCCAAGGCTAATTTATAAGGGACAATTCTATAAAAGGAGGAATACAGATAATAATTGAGATGTGAAGAGATACACATTTAAAATAATTCTCATACTATTAGAGTAAAGTGGTTAAAATTACAAATACTATGGATGCATTTATTTTCGTGGGAACCAATTTTCCCGGATTAAAGAAAAACTGTATATTCGTGGATATAATTTTGATTTCGTGGTTTTGACAATGTCAGTATACAAGCCTATAGAAATTTTTACTTTGTCGAACATTTAAATTTGTGGTTCACTTGTATCCATGAAAATTGGTAATTATGAATCCACAGGAATATACATGTTTTCTAAATTTTCAGATCTGCAATTCATCTACGCTGTTATTTAGTGCTTTGATGACCAGAGTTTTTGGTGTGAAACGAAGTAAAGATGAAAGTAGTATGTCTAAGAAAAATTGGTAAGGATAAAAATAAACATAGAAGTGTATTTCTTCTTTATAATTTGTTAATATCAAAAGGAAAGATATATAACACTGCAGGAATATTTTCTCTGTTGCATTGCTTAAAAGGAAGTTTTTATGCCTCCGCCGTAGCGGAGGGGGCATTAAGTTTTACCCTTGTCTGTCTGTACGTACGTCCCAAAATTAATTTCCGTTCTCTAACTTAAGTTCGCCTCAACCAAATGTTATGAAACTTATACACAATGCTTATTACCACAAAACACAGATCAAGTTTGAATTTTGGTGGCGTCACTTTTACCGTTCTAGAGTTATGCCCCTTTGCAAATGGAAAAATTGCTGAATTTTTCCTTTTGGTTCTTTAACTTTATTGATTTTCTGATTGGTCAAGACATAATTTACAAGAACAGAAGTTAGTTAGTATATTTTGTACTTTGAAGTGGACTGTAAATGGATTTCTTTATTCAATGTGAACGAAATTCTTCTGGGTGATAAAGTTAATCAATGACAGCATGTTTGTAGATTGAGTAAAATTCTTTGATAATTCCTTATTCTTTGATTTAAGACAAAATTCTCAACAAACATGGCATCTTAATGCATTCAAAGTTAAACATATTCAATGGTTAAAAATCTGTGAATTGTGAGGAATCTAAAATAAGATGGAAGGTATAGGTCAATGAAACAACACTCCTCCAAAAATAACAAATACCAATCAGACACCTAGAGGGGAATATATAGATTCTAACCATACACGAAAGAACATTTCATTAAGATGCCATGTTTATTGAGAATTTTGTCTTAAATACAAGAATAAGGCTTCTGAATGATTTAAGGATGTTAGCTCCATACTTTTTTTTTCAGCGTTTCTGAATAATTTGTTTAACCTCTGCCTTTTTCCTATGGTTTACTTGAAAATTTTAACCAAGCAACCTCTATTTTTTTTTTTTTTCACTATTTCCAAAAGCGTACTTCTCAAAAACACCTCTGGTAAAATGTTTTGAGACTTTTTCCCTCCAAAAATTCAAAAGAACAGGACCCTATCATTATTTTTTCCACAATTTTGATATAAGATACATTCTCTGATGAAAAAGATAGCATTTATAATTAAACAAAAAGTATTTTAGGAATTACCAAAAACATTTGACAGCACAACATACCACACCAACACCTGACATTCCCAAAAAAAACAGACATACAAACAATACAAACAATGACAAATAGCTGTGAACAGTACATTGTCAAGAGACCATACAAATGTTTTTTACAATGTCAGCTGTCCATGCAAATAGCCTTAATTTAAAAAATATTTATAATTTTTTCTTTTTAGTCAAACTGGTAAAGCATTTTTCCACAAGTATCCAGGACTGTATAATTTTATGCTTGATTTATTAGCTGAGGCTACACAGAATGTTGAGTGAGTATTTTTTTTTTTAATTGTAGTCTGACATTTTTCCTCAAGTGTCAGGGGCAGATCTAATAGTTTTGAAAGGGGTGGACGGATCTTATAAAATGAATGAAATACAGTGGAAAAAAAATTTGGACGATTTTATGCTAAATAATTAATTATAGCTAGAAGCTTTCAATTTTATAATTTCGGGGGTGAATGTCTGTAAAATGTCGACAAATTTAATTTGCAATTGTACAAGAAAAATGTGAATTGAAAAATAAAAGCCTTGAAAAGATGAGCAAATTTATAATGTAGTTATTTTTTTTCTTCTGGATTCAAGTATTTAGTATTTAATTGATATGCTCTTATTTCTTTTTCAGAGAACATGGTACAGTTCACCTTCATCCTTCTCTCTATCCATTGTTGATGGTGCTAGCTAGACTGTTTCCATCTCCACTGGAGGGAACAGATACTAGTCTGAATCTGTCAGCCTTCATTCCTTACATATTAAGGTAGGTGTCTTCTTTGTCCTTCTTTCTAACCATTGCTGGTAGTTTTTGGCTTGATATTTTTTTTCCATTTGAAGGCTTTGATACATACTCAGGTAGAAATCTCTGTCATTTTTGTCTTTCCTGAGACAAAAGTCATGGAAAGCAACACAGAGGGATTGCTTTTCTGGCGATGGCTGCGATGACAGCTTCAACAATTGTTAAGTTTTCTGCTTAAGTTAGTTTGATAGGAACAACTTGTGATAGATCATTCATATTTTGTATGAAGATGCATTACTATCAGCACATATCAGTTTGACAACAATTTTGAGGCCCTGCCCCCTAAGCCCATGGTAGAGTGACTGAATTAATTAGCAATTTTAAATGTTAAGTTTTCTGCTTAAGTTAAATTGATATGAACTACTTGTGATAGATCAATGATATTTTGTATAAAGTTGCATTACTATCAGTACATATCAGTTCTACAACTATTTTAAGGCCCTACCCCCTATGTCAGGGTCCAGTGACTTTCAATCAACTAACAATTTTCAATGTTCAGTTTTATGATTAATTTAGTTTGATAGGAACTACTTACAACAGACAATATTTTGTATAAAGTTACGTTGCTGTCTGTACATCTCAGTTTGTCAACCATTTGTAGGCCCTTCCCACTAGTTGGTCCAGCGACTTTGAATTAATTAGCAATGTTGCTGTCCATCAGATTGTCTTTTTCTGAATTTTATGCTGACAGGCGAGACATATCTCTGTGTCAACAGTTTATTCTCTCTCTATCCTGTGCTGATGAAGCAGGAGAGATTGTTTCCATCACCACTGGGGTATATAGAATAAAAGGAGATGTGGAGTATACATCAACGAGACAACAACCCAACGACATAAATTACTAAGAGACATTAAGAGTGTAACGTATGTCAATGAGACAGCAACTCAACAACATAGATAAGCAAAAGACATCTGAAAGACAACATACAGACTGTTACAATTGACAGGTATGTATTTAAAATGTTAAGCTGTTGATTTAGACCTACAAAATGTTGAAAAATAGGTTCAGACCACATTAATAAAGTGTGAATTTTCTGAAACATATGTACTACATATATGTTTCACATAGGAAAGGAGCACATATATAATTGATTAATTGTAGTTTGGCTATAGTTCAGTGTCAAATATTACATGCATTTTCAGATACAGAGGGCATATATATGACTCTTACATATTTTGAGTATGTATGATCCCAGATGGTGAATAATGTTCAAAAATGAGTAAAAACAGTTTTAAATTACAAGTTTACAGTCACACTGCACACTTTTTATCTTATAATCATTTTCATAGTCTGGGATTGCCCTGAGATCTGACAGTGTTTTAAGGGATTATTTGGGTTGTTAGCTAAGTCCTGTAAAAGTTCATAAGGGGTCAGAGCAATCTTTGACTACATTTTTCTATATAATCCAGATGTAGCAGTAGTGCAGTCCTGAAGACAAGACAGATGTCTGCTAAAGCTTTACAACCTCTAGTTATAGGCAGTAATGTTGTCAATGTACTTACTGACCTAATTCATAGACTTCCTGTTAATAGAGACCATGTCCACTATAGTCAGGTCCATGGAGTTTTATTACAGGTAAACAAATGGAAATAAATCTTAGAAATTTCATGTTGTTCTTATCTTATTTCAAAGATACTGATATTTGTGGTGTTTTAATATAGAAGATGGGGTATGATTGCCAATGCAATGAGACGACTTTCCTAATAAAAAAGACGTAAGCAACTATAGGTCATCATACAACCTTCAACAATGAGCAAAACCTATATCAAAAAGTAAGCTTTAGAAGGCCCAACATGACAGAATATAAAACATTTAGAAAAAGAAAGGTAACAGAGTCATTTTTGATGAAATAATAAACGAAAAACAAATATGACAGACAGCAACCAATGACTACCACAGAAATTACAGGCTGCTGACTCAGGCAAGCACGTATTTCATTTTACCAATGATTTTGCAGATAGCATTAAACCTTTTTCACAATCTTAGTAATTTGGTCCCTTAAGAATCAGTTGAACTTCTTCATAAGACAGAATTTATCAGATCTTGATCTCATTTTATGGTTCATGAAACAGAATTAAGTTTTTAGCTCACCTGGCCCTATGGGCCAAGTGAGCTTTTCTCATCACTTGGCGTCCGTCGCCGCTGTCGTCATCGTCGTCATCCGTTAACTTTTACAAAAAACTTCTCCTCTGAAGCTAATGGTCCAAATTTAACCAAACTTGGCCACAATCATTATTGGGGTATCTAGTTTAAAAAATGTGTCTGACAACCCCGCTTACCAACCAACATGGCCACCATGGCTTAAAATAGAACATAGGGGTAAAATGCAGTTTTTGGCTTATATCTCTGAAACTAAAGCATTTAGAGTAAATCTGACAGGGATGTACTGTTCATCAGGTTTAGTTCTATCTGTGTTGAAATTTTCAGACAAATCAGACAACCTGTTGTTGGGTTGCTGCCCCTGAATTAGTAATTTTAAGGAAATTTTGCAGTTTTTGGTTATTATGTTGAATATTATTATAGATAGAGATAAACTGTAAATAGCAATAATGTTCAACAAAGTAAGATCTACAAATAAGTCAACATGACCAAATTTGTCAATTGACCCCTTAAGGAGTTATTGCCCTTTATAGTCAATTTTTAACAATTTTTCATAATTTTTGTAATCTTTTACAAAAATCTTCTCCTCTGAAACTACATAGACAAATTCAACCAAACTTGGTCACAATTATCATTGGGCATCTAGTTGAAAAAATGTGTCTGATGACCCCCGCCTGCCAACCAACATGGCCGACATGGCTAAAAATAGAACATAGGGGAAAATGCAAGTTTTGTCTATTATTCTGATAATCGTTATAAATAGAGGAAATCTGAAAGGGTAAAATTGTTCAGAATGTTGAGCTCTACCAATTGTCCATTTACGTCAAAACTGTCAGACGGTTTTCTGTAGGAGTTATTGCCCTTTAATGACAAATTTTTCTTCTTTTTTTCATTTTTGCCTATTATCTTAAAAACTATAATAGATATAGAGAAACTTTAAATTACAAAAATGATCAGAAGGACAAGTTCTACAAATAAGTCTTATGGTTGAAATCGTCAGTTGACTCCTTATTAGAGTTATTGCCCTTTGATGACGATTTGATCAATTTTTTTTGCGTTTTTGTCTTATATCTAAAAACTTATAATAGATAGAAAGAAACTTAAATAAACAAAAATGATCAGCAAGACAAGATCTACAATAAAGACAAATGGCGAAAATTGTCCAGAGAATCCTCATTGGAGTTTTTGGCATTAAATGACGATTTTTTACCATTTTTTTTGCGTTTTTCCTTACATGATAAAAATTATAATAGATAGATAGAAACTTAAATAATCAAAAATGATAAGCAAGACAAGACCTACTAACAAGTCAAATTTTGCCGATTTAATTAGTAGACTGTTACTCTTTATAGGAGTTATTGCCCTTAAATTAGGAATTTTTTTTTACCCTCTTTTGTTTTTGGAGCAAAAGCTAAATAAAATAGAGAGAAACTAAACAGACTTCAATGATCAGCAATATAAGATAAAAAAAAAACAGAGATTTTTGTCATTAATTCTATTCTCGTCTACAATGTTGGAGAGTGTCCTTTGTTGAATATGCATATAGGTGAGCGACACAGGCTCTTTAGAGCCTCTAGTTTATGTTACCTGCAGTGTGACCTTGATTACAAAGATATCTAATGATTATGAGCTCTGACACTGAGGATGTTGATCAGTAATTTAATACAAATCAAATCTTAGAAAAGAAGTTGAATATTAATAAAAAATTAAAGCAAATTTTGATCTTTGTGACTCCCTCCGTTATATAAAAGATTGTTACGTATGTTTATCATACCTGATCTTTTACTTCATTCCAGATCCATAGTGTGGTAGAGATATTTCCATCTTTGGAGAGTAACATCAGACAACAATCACAACAGATTTTAGTTGAGGAATGGTTGAAGAGAACTTGGCTAGTGTCAAGGTAGAATACATTTATATTTCTTTGTTTAAAATTAATAACCCCTAACACTAGGAGTAGGGGCTACATGGCAATCATCTTGTATGGTGCTTGTCTGTTTTTCTATCTGCCTGTCCGTCCATCTGTCTAACTAATGTTTTTTCAGGTTTTACTGAACAGAATTATTTTATATTTGGTCAGTAAATTGACACTTTAATGAGTTATGACATATGAGCCCTTTTGGGATCTGTCAGACGCCTGCTTTCTGTTTGTCAATAACTTTGAAATTTTCAATATGTTGAATGAACGTAATATTTTCATCATACATTTTTATACTAAACAGAATTTCTTCATACCTGGTAAACAGCTTGCAGTGATGACATATGCATATACTTAATGCATATTTGTAGAAATGGTTAAAACTGCTAGTATCAATGAAAATATGATTTATGCTCCATCCATGAAAAATTTATATCTTAAAAAATAAATGAATCCACAGTACTTGAAATGTATCTATACATGCTTGTTATCAAACCAGTATTTACTTTTCACCTTTCAGAGGAGGACAATGTACACAAATTTGTCTTTAAGGTGGTCTGGTTTATTGTTTAATTGAAAACAAAAACTGTGTCTTTTTGATATAGCTGGCATAAAGGTATAAAGGTAATATTGTAGGGAAGAAAAACACTAAACAGATTTGGCCCAGATAGCCACCCTTGTGCACATATACAAAACTCATTTCCGCTTTCTAATTTTAAAACTTCTTGGAGTTCAGGGGTGTCACTTGGTTTGATTATTCACTACTGCTTGAAGGTTTGTTGTGTACATTGATATGTACAGTTTATCATCAATTCAGATTATCTTGATCAAAAAGTTAGCTGAACTGACACACCCCTTTGCATAAACATGAACATGGAATAACCTAATTGAAATATACTTTACTTATTTACATGCATGGGAGTCAACTGAATCGATAAATTTAATTTATATTCTTTTAAACTAAATTGTATGAGTTATCTCCCCATATAACAAAGTTGTGAATGTATTTTTGATAATGTAAACTTTATGTGGTAGTTTGATTAAAACCTCCATCTTTAAAATTGTGTACATAACATTTGATCTGTGCAGCAGATGAAACATTTTACTCTTGTTTTGTGTTGTTTAGTTACTGATCATGATTCATTGATGTTTACCCCTACATTACCTTTCATGCATGATTATTTAAGCAATATGTCGTTTCCATTTTCTTTGTCATGTCTATTTTGATCAAGTCTTTTTAAAAACAATCCACTTGCTTTTTATCAGTTTACTGTCATTTGTTTTTGAATATTAAACCGATTTATTTTATATTGAAAGAATTGTCTCCAATCTTTCAGGTTTTTTTCTTTACTTCTGTGTGTAATATAGTACAAAAATAATGATTCAGGAAATTTGTATTTCCAATTTATTTGTTCTTTTTCATCAAAATCATCAAACTTGTTACACTACTTTTTCAAAAATACGTTCCTTGAGTTGAACTTTCTACAAAGGGTTCACTAGTAATTGTTATCTTATAATTATTATCTGATCATTTAAAAGAAGAGATTAAAGAAATTAACAATCATCACATATCTTCAAATCTTCCAGAATGCCATTAGAAATCTTCTGGAATTTCAACTTCATACAATTTAGCATTGGTGTTTCTGTTGAAATATGACAACGCATTTCCAATAACCAGTTTTCCTGGTTTGATAAAAGCCATGGCTAACGGTCCTATTATTCCAGCCTCTGCAGTTTTACAATAAGTCAGAAGGTGGCCTGAATGATCCAAGATGTGAAGGGTATTGTTATATGAGTCTGCTATGATAACATTGTTAGACTTAGTGACTTCTGCTTGCATTGGTTTAAAGGGGTGCTTTCCAGAATTTACCTCTGGATGTCCATTATAGATGTGGACTTCGTCTGCCAGTATGACTACACGGCCACGATTATTTTTCGATATCCTGTCCAATACAAAAATCTCTCCTTGTTTTGTTGCTGTTATCCTAATCGGAAAAGTGAATAGTTGTTGGTTGTTTTTGTCAAATTCGTACATAAGTTTAGGGTGACCTTCCATGGTCATCACTACAACAGCACCACCACTTGGCATACTTCCACAGATTGCTCCACACATTGAACCTAACCCAATCCTTACACATGCAATTAATATACGATTACTGGTATCCCTGTGAACTGCTACAGGAAGCAAAGAGTTAAAGCTGAATTTTGATGGAATAGGTCCATTTGTATCACTCCCCAGTAACTTCAGATTTAAACTGTTGTCTGTCATAAGTAGATGGCCATCAGCCAAAAGCTCCATGTCAAACGCAAATCCTCTGTAGCTTGACAGAACTTTTACCTTATCTTGTTCAAGTTGAATTTTCTGAATGCGCTTTGTATCTGAATCACTCAGCCACATGGTCTCATCTGAGCTGATAAAAATACAATTCAAGACCCGTAATTCTGTTGTATATTGTTTAATAGTTTTAATCTTGCATGGAATAATGGTTTTCTCTAAGTCCATGTCCTCTATGGCAATTAATCTATGATCCTTAAATTCCTTTATCTTCAGATGAACTCTGGTTTTACATCCATCACACATCATAAGTTCACAGTCTTCACATTTCCATTTAATGTTCCCATTAGTTTCACATAACTGACAGGTATTAGACTTTGGCATAGAGGTTTTTGTATTCTGTGGCTGAACATCTTGTTGACCTACTTCTTTAATATTAATAACTCTGTGATCCTTTGTTTCCTTGATCTTAAGATGGATTCGGATTTTACATCTTTCACACATCAACAAATCACAATTTTCACATTTCCATTCTATTTTGGCATCTGTTTCACATAATTGACAGCTTATGGGAATCTGTGCCATTTGATCAGACTTAGAGGATTCCATCGTGAATGTCAGATGATTTTCTATTGACTGAGTATTTACCTTATTTTAAATCTATTTTATACAAGTTTACGCCTTTCAAACATATAGACCTTGGATTTTTAATTTCGCTTTAATTAAAAGATTGTGTTACAAGTAATTGACACAAGTACTGTGAAATCTTATATTTTGAAATGTCATAAGCCATGATTTTTGTTCAAACATTTTGCTTTATTAATGGCAAAATCAGTTGAGAGTGCCACAAATTAAGATATACATGCTTCCATAAATGCTTCTCTTCTGTAGCTGATTTTTACCCATATATGATGTCAAGGCAAGCCTGTCTTTACTCTTTTAAATGCTTGATATCTTAACTGCTGCTGATAGAAGTTTTAAATTAAGTGACATGACGGCTTTGTGATGTCATTGATTTTCAAAGTCCCAACTTTTTTCAGACAAATCTATAGCATCCTTCAAAATATGAATCTCTTTCAAAAGTATCAAAACCGATATATAAATTCCAAAATCCAAATGTTTCTCTGCATTCACTACCTTCAGTCTCTGTTGGATAATTGTCTGATTGGCTATCATACATAGACTTTACACATGATGTTAATCAACCGATAACTAAGAGAAAAAGGCATAATCTGATATACTGTAGTTGTCGTCTGTTTATGTAGTTCATACGTGTTTCTCGTTTCTCAATTTTATATAGATTAGACCGTTTGTTTTCCCGTTTGAATGGTTTTACACTAGTATTTTTTGGGGCCCTTTATAGCTTGCTGTTCGGTGTGAGCCAATGCTCCGTGTTGAAGGCCGTACCTTAACCTACTAATGGTTTACTTTTATAAATTGTTACTTGGATGGAGAGTTGTCTCATTGACACTCATACCACATCTTCCTATATCTATATAATAAATGAGGATATATATTATTATTTGTCGAATACTAAATTTGATGGATTTTGTAGATATAGGAATTGAAATATTCAATGAAGTACAACTTTTCTTTAGGTTTGTATGTAGAATTTTGCAAAAGCACAAAATCAAATATCCAAGAAAATATGTTTTTCCTCAATCCACCAAAATTTGAACCCTTGAAAAATAAAAGAATCCACAGTTAACCCTTTCAACGCTATACACGGCATATGCCGCGATGATGTACGCCATCCGCCGCTGCTGTTCGCGGCATATGCCGCAATGACGATGGATTTTTCAAACAGTCTCATAAACCATTCGGTTTTCATTCAGCTCCTCTCTAATTTTTCCTCGTATGAATCGAGGATATACAAGGTCCCGTTTGGGCTTGAAATCGGGGGGAATTTTCATGGTAAAATCATGCAGTAGAAGGAAAATAAAAACAAATATTTTGACAAATGCAAATGGCGGAAATCGAAAAAGACCCTGTAAATATGGAATTATTTCAGCATTTCTATAGCAAAACTGACAACGAGGAATAGTTAAAAGTTTCACCATTATCTCAATGTGTTTATTACATTCAATTCGTGTGGGAAATATGATTTGATTGATCTTTACGAGACGTAGAAAAAGGGGGAAAACGGAGGTTGACTGAAAATTTTGAGGACGGAGCTAATTATTTTCACCACGTTTACGTTATACGTTGTGAAAGGTGCAATACGCTACAGAATCAAGCAACTGGTGTCTTCCTTATTATATGGCAGATAGAACATCTTCCTTATTATATGGCAGATAGAACAACAAAATAAATGAAGATTAAAAGTTGTTTTTATTCAAAATTCAACACAAATACAATAATTTACACCTTTTACCTGTTAATTACCTGAAAATGCAGGTAGCCTGATGAAAATTTTACTAAAATAATTGCATAACATTACAGTTCATGCTCTCCTGAGCATTTTTCATGCACTTACTTTGTCTGTATCTCTAATAATAAAAAAGATACTTCAGTCTGAAAAGGAATATACTGTTCTAATGAATGAACCCAAAACAAATGCAGCAGCAGCAGCCATTTTTTTATTTTTTTGTGTAGCGTTGAAAGGGTTAACAAAATTATGTCAAATTTAGGCAACAGTAGTTTACAGATGTCTAATTATCATCATAATTCGATTAAAAAGACAAATCAAGCTACAACACACAAAAACTAA